ACAATTGGATTTGACCCCAAAATACAAACGTTATCAAAACGTTATAAAAACAGTTGAATATATTCCAGCTATATGACGGCGGTCTGCAATAATCGAGACCAGACCAGACAATCCAGTGACTGACAACATGAGCATCGGTAACCGCAATTTGGATACGATGACATGCATCAACCAATTCAGCGAGCCTGACCACCCGATCCCGTTAGTCGCCTGTTACGACAAGCATAGTCGCCTGTTACGGCAAGCATGGGTTGCTGAAGACCCGGGGCAGCGGGGTAGCCAAGTGGTTAAAGCGTTCGCTCGTCACGCCGAAGAACCGGGTTCGATTCCCAACATGGCTACGTAACGGCGTAAAACCATACCCACTCATTATTCTTAACCCGGATCTTCACGGGTCCCTCTCAAGAAAGTGAAATATAAAGTAAACGAATTGTAAAAACTTTTAACACGAAAACTAAAAAAACTTCTGCTACGTCGTGATATCCACATTTGCCGGACACGCCTAATTCCTCTTTGAAAACAGCCTTACTATATATGTTCCATTTCGAGGACCGTGTGCTGCACGCATGGGCTATTCGTCTACCTATAGTGTGAACTACACACAGCAAATAGTCAGTCAAAATTCAGACGGCACGAAAACGTAAGAAGTTGACAAAACAACATCAATTGACATCTAAAGTGTTTATTTGACGCTGTTTTATTTCGTTTTCTTATTACTAAACGTCAATGTGTGTGTTCTATTCATTGTGAGCCTAACGTTAATAACGTCTATTTAGACTACACCACTTGGCCAGACATATTTATTTTAAAATCAACACCCGGTAACCTTCTGCCGCGAACCTTTGCCTCTATGCGTGATTGCATGAATGGAAATTGCCTTTTTCACAAACGATATAGGGTATAGGTATATAGAAATATTTAGTGTACAGCAAGATCCATTAACAAGCACACACATAGATGTGTATGTATGTATGTATATGCACACCTTTTATGTTTATGTACACACGTCAGTCGAGTTGGTTAGCCACGCCAAAACACACGACAGCACCGTTCAACAAACATCAAGTCGTCGTCGTCTTTCCCATGTCATAAAACTCAACCGTTATGTATAATTCACGTATCGCAAGTCTGTGCACACTTGTTGGGCGTACAATGCAAACAGACCAACAATGGTTGAATATTCATACATATTGCCTTCTTCAATATTGATAAATCAAATTGCCTCCAATTGAATAGGGTTTTGTATCCTGAGTCACGAAAGACGAAGAATGGGAGCCCTTGGTCACATCTAATACTTCAACAATACGTTAGTGCTTTGCTTCGGACAAACAACGCGTATTGTGTTCACTGACTTGGTTGCTACAGAAGGCACCGTTGGGAGTCGGGAATTACCTCCCTTGGTGGAAGAGCTGTTCAAGTCGGAGGTACAACCTGTCATAAATAACTTGGTGTTTGTTTTGCATTAGCTATGCGCGTTTAAAGTGTGTTTGATTGTTCACAATGTAGATATGGGACCATTAATGTACGTATATTTCGGACGTGACTTTACATGCGCGTGGGGATATATATTCAAGTGCATAAATATTTTCTCACGCCTCTATCCACTTGAAAAGATAAGGTCAGTTTTAAGTGCACTGGAAAGCTTTAAGCTTGCTGACTTGTATTTTATATGAACCTTATAACGTTTACTTTACCTTTGTCTGATCACAATATGGGTTAGTCTTAGTGACTCCACGGCCGTATTGTGTTGGGTGGGAGGAGCGAGTGACTTGGTACGTTATTGGGTGGGTGAGTGTGTGTGGATAGAAGGATGGTTGAGTGAGTGTTTTTTTGTGGATAGATGAGTGTGTGGATAGAAGGATGGTTGAGTGAGTGGTTTATTGTGGGTGGGTGAGTGTGTATGGATAGAAGGATGGTTGAGTGAGTGTTTTTTTTGTGGATGGATGAGTGTGTGGATAGAAGGATGGTTGAGTGAGTGGTTTGTTGTGCGTGCTTGTAGGGGTGGACAGAAGGATGGTTGAGTGAGTAGTTTATTGTGGATGGATGAGTGTGTGGATAGAAGGGTGGTTGTGTGAGTGAGTGCTTGAGTCAGTGATAGATTTTGGTTGAGTGTGGGTGAGTGAGTGGATAGAGGATAATTGGTTGAGTGAGTGGTTGAGTGGTTGTGTGAGTGAGTGAAAGTGAGTGAGTGAGTGAGTGAGTGAGTGAGTGAGTGGAGTATAATTGGTTGAGTGATTGAGTGGTTGAGTGAGTGGTTGAGTGAGTGAGTGAGTGAGTGAGTGAGTGAGTGAGTGAGTGAGTGAGTGAGTGAGTGAGTGAATTAATGACTTAGAATGAATATTCCTGTTATGATTCTGGCGGTAGGTTTACATACAAAATGCAACGTGATGAGGAGTGATTTTGTATGGTATCTTTGTACACATGTATGTAGAGAGTTTATGCATTTACATTCTCAATAAAGGATGGGGATGAAAGTTAAAGTGACCGGAGTCTTCATAATCGTATGACACTCCTTCCATCGAGTATTGTGAAAAACAAACAAAAAACTCTACAACTCAGGAAAACCCCACCACACAAATTACACCCCAACACCTCAAATCATCCCATCGCAAAGTCTGTTTACACATTGACTCGTAGTCAAAGAACGGGAATACCTTGCAAATAACAAATAATCCATTTCTAATTTATCTTTGCGGAAAATAAATTACAAATGCCAAATGTACCAGTTTAATCTTATGCCAACGGGTTTCAATACAGTAATATACCACTTAAGATCGGCGTATAATCCGGTCTAGATGTCTTCAACTTTAAAGATTCTGCTTGTAATATGGATTACAAAAGTTGCGCTAATAAACGCAAAGGGAAGCGTTTGCGAAATGATCAAATTTCGACATTCCGTTCTTTAACGGAATGTAGCGTACAGAAACATTAATTAGGTATTTGAACGCGAGACGGAGGCCGACAGCTGACTGCCTACGTTTCGCTCTGGTACGTTTCGCGTGGATTCTGTCACGTAAGCGTTAAGAATCACGTGATATACGCCGAAACGTATCTTCAGACAAAGAAGAGTTTATTTAACGGGAGATTAATACACCACGGGTGTATTGTGTTTTCAGGCGTTGAAGACGTATGTAACGGGACGCAGGTTATGATCCGTGGACTTGAAGGTCAGAGAATATTGAAATCTCTTTGCAGAATTTAAAACGAAGTATTCGGGGAATTTACGTTGACAAAGATTAGACAGCTTCCTATATAAATGCGTTACGCCTTTTGTGGAAACTCTTTGAAATGAAAACACACACCTATTCACTTTTTACATTACGGTTTCCAGGGAAATTCGTTTGAAAAGACCTGGAAAAAAGTTCATGTAGCCACGCGTCCAGCTTTCCCTGATAATCTGCCCCGCTTTGCCGTCTTATAAATAAATGTTTATTGTTATGTCTGCTTGGTGTGTAATATAAGCTTACGTATTTCACGGTCAGATATCAGATCTACGTAACGTAGGATACATAAAAAATCAAAGTGGTTTTCGGACCCATTTTTCTCAAAGGTGATGAAGAAGGTAGAACGCGGTGTCATTTTTTTTATTAAAGAAACGTGATGAAAAGGAACACCGACTGACCAATACCAACAAACACAACTGGACTCACATTGAACTGCCCCCTTAATAGAATGTCCGTTTTCCAGCATTGACAACAATTTTAAAGGGAGTTATAGTGACGCGCCGATGATCGAGAAACATATCCGTTTTCTTGCCTTGTAATCTGCCGAGCGAACGAAAGTATACCCATGTTTGATGGTAGCTAAACATGAAACAAACAAGAAATGGTTATTCGATGGTGAAATCAGCATAGGGATTTTTTTAGTCAAGAAGGATATTGTGTAATATAAGATTTTAGAGACTAAATGTTAGTCTAGATTTGATACGGCTTTCATAGTTGTGTTTTGGACCTTAAGTTCGCAGTGTTTCAGCCACTGTTTTCAACGTAATAACTTTTTGACAACTTATGTATTTTTTTGGTCAAATCCATTTTTTAAGTGTAGACATTCTTGTGGCCGGCAGTTTATAACCAGACTAATATAACGTAGACTAAATGTTATAACGTAGACTGAGAATAAAAAGGCTATTTGATTCGGGAATAATAGGCAATAGTACATGCACAGTATCGGTGAGTATCTCACAACAGATGACCTGCACATGTCTCAAGAAACATGGATCACAATTTCACAGTACACAGTTATGAGAGTGAAGAATGATTTTCAAGTGTATACTTTCTTTGGCCCGGCATTTCATTTAAAACGAATGTGGTATGATGGCCCGACGCAAAATGTTTTGAACTTAAATGAATAGTAAATGTAACTCCTAGATAATGAGTGAGTCAGTGAGTATGGTTTTACGCCGCTTTTAGCAATATTCCAGCAATATCACGGCGGGGGACACCAGAAATGGGCTTCACACATTGTACCCATGTCGGAATCGAATCCGGGTCTTCGGTGTGACGAGCGAACACTTTAACCACTAGGCTACCCGACCGCCCCTAACTCCTAGAAAAAAATCAGACGGAAAATTGTTCCTGTTTTCATAAAAAGTATGCATGAATATAGATATGTTTAAAAGTCTGTCGTGGAGGCATTGCCACGTGGCAAACGCGTTGCCATCCCTTCGAGTTCATTGACAGGTCAACGCTGAGGGCGAGAAGCCTTTATGTAACACTAAGCTCTTCACTGTGGTGAATACAACACTTAGTGTTTGAATAAATTTCTTGGTCGGTTACTTGTGAAACGTAAAACCTGGTGAATACTACCAGTTTCTTCGTGGTATACTCCCCAGGGAGTTGAATAAAATTATGATGATCTGTTGATTTGATAATATTTTGTCAAAGGCTTTGAATGCGAGGTTACTAAATATGATAATGTCACTTCCTGGGGAGTATATCTCCTAGGCTGGATGTTTATTTTTCTTTGTCAGTTGCTTAACGTCGCGCTCATTATTATTCCAGCTCTATGCCGGAGGTCTGTAAATGGTCGCGTCTGAACAGACAACCCAGTGATTGACATCATGAGCATCGACCCAAGCAATTAGGATACGACGACATGCATCAACAAAGTCAGCGAGTCTGACCACCTGATCCCGTTCGTTGCCTTTTACGACAAGTTGAAGACCAATTCTAACCCGGATCTTCACGGGGCTGCATTTGAGAGGTAGAAGATGTATGGATGGATGTATGTATGTGTGTATGTATGTATGTGTGTGTGTGTGTGTGTGTGTGTGTGTGTGTGTGTGTGTGTGTGTGTGTGTGTGTGTGTGTGTGTATGTATGTATGTATGCATGTATGGTTATATGTATAAATATATTACATGGCACACGAGGTTTCGATTATATGAAGTAATCCCAAAATGGCCAATTCATTCGCATAAATATGTGATTATACACCCTCATTTGGAACACCTTTAAAAACCTCAACATATCAACTCATGTATGGCCGTGTTTCTCCACGACGTTCTAACGAAATTAAAGACAAAATATCCCTCGACGGTGAATACAAAATATAATAATCATAATTCACGTGAAGATAAATTAGAACCCGTGTGCGTTTCCATGTCTGTTAGGTCATTATGCCGCCGAAACAGCATAACCCCGCTATAACGCTAAACACCGCGAGCAATGCTCTCATTCATCATCGCCGAGAAATCGGAAGGAAATCGAGATATTGAGACATGCTTTGACACCGCGTCATGCAGAGCAGATACATGTTCTTTGTTCTCTACCTACACGGGATTCATCTTAGCAACAGTCTAAATCCATAAATTGCACACACATGCCTACGGTGCTATTATTTACGCATTCATCATCAGCTGTTTTGGAGCGTTGTCGATTTCAGAGATGTAGATTTCGCTCAAGCTGCCTGATATCGTCAGGTAAACTTACTTGTCCACACGCTGTGCTTTAAATGTCACCTTTTGACGATTAATAATATCATTTTCTGATCACACGTGGAAAGCTGACTGTAGACAGTTGGATTAAGTGTTTAAAAACGTAATCCATTTCATCTATGGGTTTAGATTTCGTTGCGAGATTTCGAGAACATCCTATGCGTTCATGAGCGTTGACAGATATCGGCTGTATTCATGGTCTCGGGGAGGGGGTATTGATCCATTTTTTAAAACGTCGGAGTGTGTTAATCAAATGTGTGTATTTGTTTGTTTGTTTGTTATTTAACGCCGTACTCAGCAATATTTCATTTGTATGACGGCAATCTGTAAAGAATCAATAGGACCAGACAATCCAGTGATTGGTATCATGAGCATCTGTCCACGCAGTTGGGATACGATGACATGCATTAACCAAGTCAGGAGTCTGACCACCCGATCCCGTTAGTCGCCTCTTACTCAAGTGTGTGTAAGTCGATTACACTAACTTAACAAGCTGGGTGATTCCTGTCCTTGAATGTCCCAGTACATCTCGGTATTTAAAACTGGAGATTGGATTTGCCGAACCTTAATGTGACATTTTGAAGATCGACTCGCATCGTGGTGATGGGGTAGTGATTCACTGTATTGGGTGGGTAACGCTCGGCCCACCCCTCGTGAAGAATCGATCTTCAGGTACCTGTGCTTGACGTAAGAAGCGACTCACAGTATCGGGTGGCCCTGACTTGGTTGATGCATGGCGTCGTACCTCAAATGTGAGGATCTTTTCATGATCACTGGGTTGCCTGGTTGCCTCGACTATTTACAGACATACATCTGACATGAAATTTTGCTGAGTGCGGCGTTAAACAACGTATAAACAATGCTCCCTCTTCTTATTCGGTAGATATTAACATAATTATTCTATGACTAGGTTCACGTGTAGATTTTAACAGCGCTAATTAAATTTGGAACCGAACGTGCAGCACAACAACAACAACAACAACAACAATAATATGATAATAATAATTGTCGATAATACTTTCATTCTCATCTCCCTGGGGAGTATACCACCCATGCTGTAGACGAAAGAAGGCGTGTAGCCGTTTCTGATTGATGTGAATTGAAACATTTTACGCCGCAGAAAGTAATATTCCAGCGAAAACCAGCGAGCCTGTTTCTGAACAGAAAAAACAACTACGTTCAGGCAGATCCAGCGAACACACAATCAAGTGTTTATGGCCTTAACGGCAAGGTAATGATATTCAACGTTGCAACAGTAGCCGCAATGTTTAAGCTACGTGACCCACACAATCAGTGATTGTGCAGGAACTGAGGACCCCGTGGGAATATACAGGTATATCAATATACCGCACTTCGGTTATACCTGATTATATGCAAGATATGACGGCTTCGCTCATTGTCGCATTTTTTTCACACGGAATTTATTATTCAAATTCCTATCTGAACAATACGAAATATAATACTTTAGCGTAACGGGGAATATGTTTCGCTTGTATTTGCGGACGTGATTTGTTAAAATTTATATTAGCCTCGATGGCTATTAATTATCATTGCAAATATTTGTGAATTGTATTTTATGTCACGTGAGGTTGGTGTTATATATTTAACATGGGGATAAGAAGAGTTGTTAGTGGTTACCGGGTATTGACAACCAGGTTGATACGTGTGAATTATGAGAAACATTTGTTTGTTGTTTAACGCTGCACTCAGCAATATTCCATCTATATGACGGCGGTCTGTAAATCATCAAGTCTGGATCAATCCAGTGACTGGCATCATGAGCATCGATCCACGCAATTGGTATACGATGACATGCATCAAGCAAGTCAGCGAGCCTGACCACCCGATCCCGTTAGTCGCCTCTTACGACAAGCATAGTCGCCTTTTACGGCAAGCATGGGTTGCTGAAGACCTATTCTACCCCGGATCTTCACGGGTCGATGAGCAACAGACGGGATTTGTGTACAGTATAAACGTACAAGACCAATACAGAACTCAATCTTAGCACAACGACATTTAAACGATGTTTTGGTTGGTTGGTTTGTTGTTTAACCCCTGCAATCAGCAATATTCCAGCTATATGACGGCGGTCTGGAAATAATCGAACCTGGACCAGACAATCCAGTGATTAATGTCATGAGCATCGATCCACGCAATTAGGATCGATGACATGCATCAACCAAGTCAGCAAGCCTGACCACCCGACCCCGTTAGTCGCCTTTTACGACAAGCATACTAGTCACCTTTTACGGCAAGCATGGGTTGCTGAAGATCTATTCTACCCCGGAATCTTCACGGGTCTTTAAACAATGTATAGTGTACACACAGAGAATCTGTAAATATATATCGACACAAGTCATTTAAAGAAGCAAAACTCCGAGGCTTGTCGATTATTTATTTCTTTTTATAGACGAGTGTTGATATATTTGATATTAAAAGAAATAACATTTGACTTAACATAAACGTGATATTTGGACGGAGATGAGATGCATCTGAGTTTAATAACTCTCAAAACTAGCAGATCGTCGCCAGTGTTTTCTGTACCAAAAATATATATTGATGTGATGACTCCGTTGAGTTCAGTATTGTTACTGTTATGTCGTGGCCTTAATGATTTAAAAATCAATGCAAATATGTTTTAAGTAAAAGGTAACTAAACTAGAATCACTTGTGTTAGTGTGTTAGATTTAAACATTTAGATCTCAAGCTGACACCTATGCTAATCGATCAATGGTTGATCATGAATGTGGTATCCACTCGGAGGTATTGTTTGATCTCACTGATGCCTTATCTAAAGCGACACAAAATAAATAAAAGCGACAAACCCCGTACCCATGTGAATTTTCCACGAATATATATCGTACACTCTCCATCCCCACGGAAAACTTGTTCTGAATCTGATCTTAATGTCTCCATATGTTTATTATTTAGATACTGCTAAAAAAACGTTAAGGCCCTATCGATTCTTAAATACAACTATTGTTAATCCAAAAGAATCAGGTGGGACTTAGCTTAGTATGTTTCTGGGAATACCGGGGAATTCAACAGTCAGGTCTTATTCATGTTCCTAAGTGACTATAATTAAATATTTAATATATTAGGTTTATTTATGATAAGCATGTTTTCGAAAAGCTTTAAATGAATGCGGAATTTGAACGTTTGGATTTATTAATTTCATTCATTTTGACAGGGGATGACGTCATATGATGAGATCAAACAGGCCCTATGAAATGTCGCGTCATTTGTAGGTAACGACATTAACCCATGCCGCTTTATTGCACGGTAAGCACGTAAAGTCCGTGCTGCGTGCCCGCTCGTGACGTCACATGACATAATGTGTATCTAGCTTCGAGAATCACGTGCGAGGTGACGTCCTAACACGATGACGGGCTGTTTATGAACTCCGAATTATATGTTTATAGTGTTTTAAATGGAACCCCGTTGTTAAACTCAGCAGTTAAATCAGACTCAATGTAGATTAAAGTGCAATTTTATCAGTTAAGCTAAAAATTCCCATGTAGATAGGAGTCAGTGATAATGAACAGACAGTTTTATCGGCTGTTTGACTGATGATGAGTGCTCTTGAAAACAGACTCCCAACAGATTCAATTTGATGTCTGCAATAATGATAGATCGCCCGTTATGGCTTTGTGCCCTGTCTGGACAATGGTCAGCGGGGATGTAGGAACGGTCAGTCATCCATGATCGCTGGGCGGAGTCGCGTAATAGATCGCCAGTGTCCGTCTTTGGCTGAATGAGGTTAACTCTCAAAGACAGCATGTCGACAGGCTCACTGTTTGAAATATGTCAAACAGTTTTATTGTCTTAAACTGCATTTTGCATTGCTTAAAACAGATATGGGTGGTTAGTTTTTCCAAGCGCTTGACCAAATTAACCAAATACCTCATGGAAAATACCTCATGAACTGTGCCATTATTCCTTCCAAGATTCTCTCATCACTTAAATATACTGGTTACTGACCGTTTAAAATAATTATGTCGATTTGGACTCCACTTTACAATTTGATCTAACACCTGACCGTGTGAATCCAAAGTCACAAGGCCCCGTGACGATCTTGGTTAGAATGGGTCTTCAGCAACCCATGCTTGTCTCCCCGTGAAGATTCGGGTTAGAATGGGTCTTCAGCAACCCATGCTTGTCTCCCTGTGAAGATCCGGGTTAGAATTGGTCTTCAGCAACCCATGTTTGTCTCCTCCGTGAAGATCT